AGGTGCGGCCTTGAAGCCTCAGTAGTTAGAAAAACATTCCAGTGTCTTATCAGCCTAGCAGAACACACTGTTGCTAGTTACAAGAAAGCTTACTGAAGGAAAAAAAAATCAGTAAAAGGAAAATTGGCTTCATCCTGGCTCAAACCAGGACAATATGAAAGGGAAGACTGTAGATTCTTGGTAAATATCCTTTTTCTAATCTTTTAAATTTGTAGAAGGAAGAATAGAATGCCTATGAAGTGAAGCTACACACAGCCATGTAGTCTCAGATGGTTTAAGACAGATCTGGGAATAAAGGGCCTTGAATCCAACTATCATTTTAATCCTTCAGGTATTCCCTTTAGTGTCTTTCCATTGTTGTTTTTTTTCTCACTCTGATTCTGACTCCCAGTCAAGATTCCCACATGCAGTAGGAAATGTCAGAGATGCTTCTGGTTTCCAGTTGGTGTTTCTTGAGTGCCCCTTTGGGACACATCCCAAATGTTTGGAGCCAGCTGGAATCAGCACAGTGCATTATCAGCTGCCATGGTGCCTCTTTGCCATCAGTGGGTGTAAAATTAGGAGTGATTCCAAGAGGTAGGAGAATGTTCACTTGGGGTTGTATCCTGAGACTGATAACCAGATATTCTACTTGCTTTCCAGTTCTCAAAACCGATCCTACTCTCTGTGGTGTCTCCTCTTTCATCTTTCTGGTGGGCCCTCAGGAAGCAGGGAAATTAAACCTGATTCCTGGATGATTTGAGGGTTTTTGTGTGAATCAGCTCTTTTGGCAACTCTCCTTAATTAGAAAATGAGTTGCCTTTTAACCTTTTAATACTCAGAGTAGGGAGCTCTGGCTGGGTGAAAGTTCAGGAAAATATTTAAACTGGTGGGGGGGGGTTTGGTCTGGTGGTGTGAATTGAAATTCAGGGGTCGTTTTCTGACTGTTGAGTCTGTATGCTCTGGAGGTGTGAAATAATTTATGAGCTCTCAGGCTCTGTGTGCTGAGGGATAGAAATATCTGAGTTTCATGGAGTAATTAAAGTGTTTGCTACAGAGTGGGAATTGGAGTTCCTGGCTGAGATTTTCCGATGTGTTACCTCCATGCTTCATCTTGGTTCCTCTTTCACAGACCTCTCTCCTGTGGACAGGGAACAAAGCTGGATCATGCGGGGAGAGTTGTGAACAGTGCTTGGTCTTGAAGGGAAGCCAGCAGCAGCAGGATGGTGACACATGGGTAGATTGTTGAAGTTCTTGGTAGATGAAGGTCATCCATGTGGTTTTGAATGGGAAAAGCAGATGCCAGGACACTGGGGAGCTGAACTTGTCTGTAGTTCTTCTTGTTTGGAAACCAGTTCCACTATAACCCCCCCCCTCCTTACCAGCTTGGATACCTGAGCTGCTGGTACCACCAGCCTCCTGGAAACTGCTCTTTTTGCTTTTACTTGGATCTACAGGAGCAAACAAGTATATTTGTTGGGTGTTTGTTTTTTTTTCACTATTTCCCCACAAGCCACAGATGACCTTGCTGTTAGGATCTTCATGGTTTGGTCTGCTTCAAACTCCAGCATTTTTTCTGTAGCTCAGAAGAAATCCTGTGGTGCATCATGGTGTGTTGTAATAGGTTGCCCAGGGAAGCTGTGGCTGCCCCATCCCTGGCAGTGTTGAAGGGCAGGTTGGATGGGGCTTGGAGCAACCTGGGCTGGTGGGAGGTGTCCCTGCCCGTGCAGGGGGACTTGGGACTAGATGATCTTGAAGGTCCCTTCCAACCCAAACCAATCTATGAACAAAAAAATGTGATACACAGTGCTCTAAAAAATATGACAATGGACACCACTCAGCAAACACCTGCTTGTGGCAAATGATGATCTTGTTTTGAAGACTTAAAACCCTCTTTAATGTCCCTTCCAACCCAAACCAGTCTGGGATCCTATGATTTTGGATTTCCAGTAGGTCCCAGGTCAAAAACCCTTGCTAAGTGATGCTGACACCTGCTATAACTCAATGATTATTGGGTTATGGATCATAGTGTGGAAATGAAGTCGTAACCCTGGAGGAAACATTAAAAGTACTTTAAAAAACCCATCTTTTAATGAGTTAGAGGACGGTGGTGTTGCACCAAATGAAGTGTAAGTTCTTACTTTTGGAGGGAGTGAACATGGTCTTTGTTTGAAAGGAAAGATTATACTGGTTCATGTCCAAGTTAATTAATTGTCTTTTAAAAGGTTTCATGTCGCCTGCAGTTTGTTAGTGATTAAGGAGGCAAATGCCATTTTTCCCACCTCCCTTTTAAAAATAAGATATGTAACAAGGTCATTACAGGCAGAAGTGGGACCAGACAGCTAGATGAATGGACCTCTCATCCGTTTTTCTGCAGAGCCTTTCCCAATTAACATTAATTTAATGAGCTTTGCTCAGCTGTCTGGTATCAGGATTTAATCACTGCAGCACATTCTTTGGGACTGCCTCACAGTTACCTGAAAAACACCATATAAAAGTAAACAGTACTGTGCATTATTTTGATATCCTGAGCATTTCTTACACTTGAACTAGGATTTGTTATCTTCCTGTTGAAGGGAATCAGTTTTACTGGCAGGTGGAGCTGTGTTTGGCTTGCTGGACACTTCCCTGACTTAGCATGATGGCAAGTGTGACAGTTTGATTGAACAGGACAAAGGACATGCTTTTGAGATATATTTCTTACTTTTAGAGTGAAGTGTACTCTGAAAATCACAGTTCTGGGCAGTACCTCAATGTTTTTACATTGTCTTGTTTCTTGGCAGATCAAAAATAAAAGCTTTGGTCTTAAGAAAAAAAAAAATCCATTGTTGGTATGAAGTGATTTGGGGTTTTCTTCATGTGCTTTTCAAGTGTTCATGAGTGAAACTCTCTGTTCTAAACAGTGAGTAACCTCAGCTGAAGATACCAAGTTGTCCTGGAATTTCTTTTGTAATGAAATCCAGTAGATAAATCTTTGTTTTTTCCCCTTTTTTTTTTTCCCCACAGAGATATCACATACAGCATTTCCTTGGAAGCTGTGACCACTCTCATTGTCTTCCTCTCCTGCCAGTTATTCCACAAGGAAATTCTACGGGAGAGCATCATTCACAAGTACCTGATGCATGGTCGATGGTATGATCTGGGGTGCTACCTCATGACAAAGCAAAGGCTTCTGGTTGCTTGTTTGGACGGTTTGCACTTGACAACAAAAGATAGTGAAACAGAGTTTGAGAATAGGTGGATAATTAACTACTTGGTTAACAAAGTCATGCAAGTAGAAAGATGTCATTCTGGCAGTTGAATATACATGGTACAAAGAATCATGTTGTGGAATAACAGAATCATTTGGGTTGGAAGGGACATTAAAGATCATCCAGTTCCAAACCCCTGCATGGGCAGGGACACCTCCCACCAGCCCAGGTTGCTCCAAGCCCCATCCAACCTGCCCTTCAACACTGCCAGGGAGGGGGCAGCCACAGCTTCTCTGGGCAACCTGGGCCAGGGTCTCACCACCCTCACAGCAAAGAATTTCCTCCTCATGTCCAACCTAAATCTCCCCTCTTCCAGTTTTAATCCATTCCCCCTCATCCCATCCCTCCCTGCCCTTGTCCCACAGCCCTCCCCAGCTTTCCTGGAGCCCCTTCAGGCACTGGAAGGTGCTCTAAGGTCTTCCTGGAGCCTTCTCTTCTCCAGGCTCAACACCCCAACTCTCTCAGCTTGTCTTCATGGGAGAGCTGCTCCAGCTCTTGGATCATCTTTGTGGCCTCTTCTGGACTCTCTCCAGGAGCTCAATTTATTTTGGGGGATAGAAAATTGACTATGCTCAACAGAAAGCAAACCCAAACATTTGTAAAGGCTGTTGGGAGGTTTCAGATTTAAATCTCATGGCCCATATGCCAGTAAAACTATTTTGGATGCTATCTTCATTGTTTGAAGGTCATTTCATTAACTTAAACCAGCTTTTATTCTTCAAGGTGTTTTTTTTAGATTCAGCTGAGGGTCTTTCCCTGTAACACTGTAGTTAAACACCTTCCTGGAGGTGTTGAAGGCCAGGTAGAATGAGGTTTTGTGCATCCTGGTCTAGTGGGAGATGTCCCTGCTCATAGCAGAGCGGTTGGAACCTGGTGAGCTTTCAGGTCCCTTCCAACCTTCACCATTATATGGTTCTAAGAAGTCTCAGTTGGGAGTAGTAGGGTTCTGACCTCTGGAGAGAGGGCTGGGAATTTGGTGGGTGGGAATTTAGGGCAATGAGAAGAGTTGACAAGATTCTGGTTAGAGGGGATTGGAGTCCAACCAAACACAGCCTATCTCTGGTCACCTCTCAGTCATATGGGAATGGGAAAGAACTGTTGGCTTTTGTGGAAATCCTTCTCTCTTGGAAAGCTTGTAACCTTGGTTTTAAATCCAACAAATTTGATGTTCATTTGTCAGGATCATCGGTGTGAGGTCACATGTTTCCTTGGTCTTTGCAAATTGACCCCAGACATAAATACTGGGGAGGAGGGAGAGTTACTGTTGTTACCTGTTTTATGAAACCAAAGCATGGAGTCAAACAAAACAAATATAATGTTGTTTTTTTCCCATTTGATAAATATTTTTCCAATTGTGTCTTGAGGGAGAAGAACACAGTGATTAAGTGATTGATTTAAAAGCAGTCTTGAAAAAAGGAAACAAGTCATTCCCAAGATGCTGCTGCTGAAGGTGCTACTGCAGAGCCCTGCTGAAGTCAGAGCAGCTTTGCATGGGCCAGCCCTTGGTGTTCTTTCCCTTTCCAGTCTGCTCCCAGTATCCCAGTTTAGTGCCAAACAGCAGCCTTTGCACCCTGCCTGGGCTTCGTTGTGCCAATTTTTTCCAAGTTGTGAGTCAACTAAAGCTGGTTTCTTTTTCTTTTCAGTCTCCCATACACCAGCAGACTTGTGAAGACTTTACTGTATAATTTCATTAGGCAAGAAAGAAGCCCTCCTCCAGGGAGCCATGTCTTTCAGCAGCAAACAGATGGAGGAGGACTGCTTTATGGAATTGCATCTGGGGTGGCAAGTGAGTCTTACTTTCTATACACTATATTTAAACCTTCCAAATTACTGACCTCTCTTACACCTGTAGACATGTTGTAGCCCAGTTATTTTTCACCCAGTGGGGGTGCTGAGGATAGAAAAGCTGTCCACAGGCCTGCTTGGGTTGTCATCATAGATGATCCATCTCAAGATGTGTTGGAATCTGAAGCAATTCTACCCAGAGGCATTGCAGGGACATGGGAAAAGTAGCACTTAGTTCCTGTTTGTCTTTTATTGAAAAAAACAACCCTCCCAAACAATTAGTGTCTTTTTTGATAAAGCTTTGACTTACTAAAAATGTTGTAAGAAAGACTTTTATGTGCATATTTTAGTTTTTATAATGAATCAGTGGGTGTGGTGACCTGCTCTGTCGCTTGAGGAGAAGGTTGGATTTAGTGGTCTCAGGAAATCATTTCCAGTCTCAAGGATTCTGTGATATAAGGGGGTGACCTAGGTGGGAATTTTAGTGCCATATTGTAGTGTGTGCCTTGCCCAGTGGGTTGACTAGTTTTTTTTTCCTGAATAGCATGACTATAGAGTCTGACCTTTTGTGAGAGGACTGTTTGGTACAGACAGAGATTGCCTGAAGACTCTGAAAGCCTCAATGCCATTTTTTTGTGAAGGAAAAAAGGGTTCTGGTGTTTGTTAGACTCTAAACTTTGTTTTGGTTGGTGGTTGCTCTCTTTCCCCACACCAGATGTATTGTTCTTCTCATACCAAATCCCACGCTGAAGTCAAATTACAGCACAATTCCAGCTACTAGAAGAAAAATTAGCTCAATCTCAGCCAAACCCAGTTGAATATTACATATCAAAACTCTTCCTCAAGGTTTTTCTCTTCCCTCTAATAAGAAAAAACCATAGTGCATTGCTAGCAATAAAGGTATATGTTGTTTTCTTTTCCCCTGATCAACTAAATAACACTTTGCAAGTCAGTTGCTGTTAAAACTGGTGCTATTTATTTTGTTCTTTTATGAAATCCATTCCCTGGCAGCATCCCTAGGGGATGTTAAAATTCAAGGCTCCAAGTGCTCTGCCAGAAAATGCGTTACAGTCCGTGACAATGTGTGTGTGTCTCCTCATGGAGGCAATAAAAGAGCAGGTCTGTGCAGCACATCACTACTTCTGTGTGAGATGAGGTTCCAAATAGCTCTATGTTCTACTGGGACATGCAGCTCCTTTCTGGTTTCCAGTTGACACACTGGGTTGTGCCCAGAATGAGTGTGACACAAAACAGTTGCTTGGCTTGCAGTGTGTTTAAAAAGAGAAATCAATTCAATTGTTCCCTACAACCTTTTGATTAGAGTCCCAACAGGTACCTTCTCTTCCATCTTTTCCATTCCTGACAAAATTGCTGTTAACATATTTTTCTGGAGCAGGTTTTGGTAGGTGTTTTGGTTTTTTTTGCTGTGCCTAGAGAGCAGTTCTCACTGCTTGCTTTGCTACCTCTGCTGACCTGCTGGTTCTGCTGGTTCTGGTTGCTTCATTCATGACTACCTGAAGTGCCATCTCTTCTCCCAGTGAATTAAGTATCTTCACTTCAAGCTTTAAGGAAAAGCGCCTTTATAAAGAGCTTTTTAATGACTTGCCTGGAAAAGGAGGGGGGGAAGAAATAAGTACCACATCCTGTTAGAAAATAGAAGTATTTTTTCTGTTTCTGCCCCAACAGCTGGTTGGTGGTTTTTGTGTCTGATTATGTGCCTGTATAGGATGTTGGACTATAGATGAAACTTGGACACAGTAAGGTTGGGAGAGTAAATGTCATATTTGGCTATCTGTAACATCTCAAAATTAACCCTTTGCAGTCCTTTGGTTACTAAAGCATCAGGTGCAGGAGTAGAGAGCAACACAGGTTAGAAGACAACAACACAAATTGATTATCTGTTCTGGAATAGAGGCAAGTTTTGAGCGTGAGCAGATGTGGAAAACTTAGGCATGATTTTTCTATTGTTTATTTTGGGGAATTTTGTCATCTTTATCAGATAAGAGCTGCAAGAAGAAGGGAAGATTTGAAAATTTACTATTATGTTGCTCAGTGTCTTTTAAATACCACGTAATGTTTACAATAAGTTCACTGAAATAGTCTAAGTAGAATCTCTTTAGGATGAAAGGAGATAAGATCCTGGTTTTAAAAATAATTTAGTTTGCATAGGAAATGTCAAAGCCTGAAATAATCACAGAATCATAGAATGGTAAAGGTTGGAAGAGACCTTAAAGCTCATCAGGTTCCAATTTCCCTGCTATGAGCTGGGACACCTCCCACTAATGAATAATTGCCATATTTGTTAATTTGAAATGATTTAACATGACACCACAGTTGTCTGTCTCACCACATATTATGTCAAGCATATATTGCAGTCACTTGCACAGCAGCACTAGATCAACAAACTCTTATAAACTCTGTATTTAAACTTCCCCCCCTTCCTTCCTTGTGATTCAGCAAAAAAGCGTTAATTAGCCACACTGGGAGCAGAAGTTTGCCCTTTCCCACAGTCACCCTTCTCCTGCTTCTCATCCTTTGTAGCCTGTTTTTTGTCCTCTCAAGAACCTCCTTAACCCTGAAACCTGGTACCAATCTTCTGCTTGGTTTGGCCTTTGTCTGCATGAAGGTACCTTTCTCCATCTTTTACATAAAATACCTTGATTAGAAGTGTCTTGCCAACTATGTTACCCTCCAATACATGAATCAACAATTGTGGGCTTGAAATGAGGGGGACAAATAATGATATTTTACTTTTCTAACTTCAGAAAGGGCATTCTCCTCTACTGAGTCAATTTGGCTTTGTCTTTGCAGTCTTGCTGTAGGTGTGCAAAGTAATTGTGAAGTGCTGCCAGATCTGATGGTGTCTTGTTGGGAAGGAATAAATTCCATCAATATGCATGGCAATAGAGATGAGACCTCATTAGAAATTCAAAATTAATTTTGCTTGGTTCACAAAGTACATTGAACCAATTTATCTTCACAAATACATTTTTTTGTTGGGTTTTAAATCCTCTCCTCTTTTTTTTTGAGTATTATTAGCATTTACCAATTCATGGTCCACAGTTGAGAGAGCTTTTGGTGGGCAAGCAACATTTTTAATTAGTCATTTTATAGCTTAAAAAATAAAATTCATGTACAATGAGAGAACTCTGATGAAGTTTGCTGATGACACCAAGGTGAGTGTAGAGGTTGACACTCCAAAAGAGAAAGCCACCCTCCAGGATGACCTGGACAGGCTAGAGAAGTGGGTTAGCAGGAACCTTCTGAAGTTCCACAGGATCTTGCACCTGGGAACACATAATCCAGGAGCACAGTTCAGACTGGGATCCACCTGGCTGGAGAGCAGCCCTGTGGAAAGGGACCTGGGGTTCTGGGTGGATAACAGGCTTACCATGAGTGAACAGTGTGCTGCAGGGCAAAGAAACCAGCAGGATGCTGGGCTGCATCAACAGCAGAGATCAAGAAGTCATCATCCAGCTTGGTGCTGGTCAGACCACATGTCCTGGTTTGAGCCAAATGGTGACACCACACCTGGTGTATTGTCTTCAGTTTTGGTCCCTGCTCTGCACGAAGGAAGGGACAGGCTGGAGAGGGTCCAGGGAAAGTGCCACAGAGGACTGGAGGACCTGCCATATGAGGAGAGGCTGAGAAAACTGGGTTTGTTCAGCCTTGAGAAAGGAAGGCTTCAGGGAGACCTTGTCACCATGTTCCAGTACTTGAAAGGTGGCTCCCAAGAAGATGGAGACTCCCTGTGTGCAAGTAGTGACATGGGCACAAGCTGCTCCTGGGGAGATTCCGATGGGACACAAGAGGTAAATATTCACCATGAGGACAGTCGAACATTGGAATAGTCTCCCAAGGGAAGTGGTGGATTTCTCCACATTGGACAGTTCTCATTCTCAACTTGACAGGATGCTGAGCCATCTCATGTCAACTAGAGTAGTACCTAGAAAGGTTGGACCAGATGATCCTTGAGGTCCCTTCCCACCTGGCATTCCATGATCCTGTGATAACACAGGAAAATATTAGTTCTACTCAAAACAACTAAGAAATAAGTGTAAATGGTTTCATTTTAAATAATAGATCCAGTTTATACTTGAAAAAACAACAACACTCAAATACATCCTGGTTAATAGGAGCACTGGTGGTCTTTTACTTCACAGGAAACCTGTTTATTCACAGTGAACATTTCATGTTGAAGGAGAAGAAGATGGCTATGTAGTCTGGTTTGTAAAACCTAGCTTAAAACTTGTCAGAGAGAGGCACAAAAAAGCTGCTTTGATGATGTCTCTTATTTCTTACAGATCTGCCAGGCTTTTTTTCTTCTTATAAATATTTCAGGCTGGTTGTTTTTACCTTCCAGAACTTTTCCATGATGTGTCACAGATCTGGGGTATGATCTGCTAAATAACTACAGCCTTGGCTGTCTCCGTGGTGCTTAGTCAATCTTTAATTGCCTATTCATGCTTACCTGAATGAAAATGTAGATCTAAGACTTTTTTCCCCCCATTTCTATCTGTTCATCTTCCTTCTAACATCATCACCTCCTGGTCCCTGTGATGGTGGCCTGTTGACCTGCATGAATGTGAAGCTTTAGAGAGTGTCCAGATCTCCAACCTTTCTCTTAGTTTCTATGAAGATGTGTCTGAACAGGAGCAAAATGAACAGTGTGCCCAGGTGGCCAAGAAGGCCACCAGCATCCTGGCTTGTGTCAGCACTGGTGTGGCCAGCAGAGCAGGGCTGGTCCCCCTGTGTTGGGCCCTGGGGAGGGGGCACCTTGAATCCTGGGGACAG